GCCGCTCGCACATTGTCTTTCTCTCTCTTCCTCCGTGTTCCTTCCATCCCATTTCGGCCATTTCTTGAAACCTACCGTCCTCTTCCTTATTCCCTGCTGCTTCCACTTCCACCCCATGTTGCTCAGGTGGAGGCAGTGACTCCGTTGCCGCAGTCACCACATACCGCTCTGCCATGTGGCTCGGTACTTCATTCTCTTACTACCCTCGTGCCCCTTCGTCCACACCCGTATTCTCTCTCAGGTGGAGGCAGTGACTTCGTTGCCGCAGTCAGCACATGACGCACCACCATGTGACGTGGCAGTGGGCGGCACTGATGCGCCAGCCCACATGCCACACATGCCATCCCACATGCCAAATCCGCCACCCCACATGCCGCATCCAACGGGCTACACACTGCAACCCTGCAGTAGCCAGCGCAGCAGCACGCCGGCACCCGCCGCTGGAATGGAGGCTGCTGGGAAGGTTCCTCCGGATCCAGTTCAGGCACCGGGGCAAGTGCAGGTGGTTATAACGAGGGCTGCAGATGAACTGCTGGCTGTGAAGTTGGTGCCTTATAACGAGGTGAGTGGAGGTGGTGCCTAAACGAGATGAGGGAGTGGTGGTATCTTTAATCGCGGCGAGGGAATGGTGGAGCCTTGTGACGAGGTGAGAGGATTGGATCGTGTGGCTGTGCTCCTGCGAATCTTGCATTGCCATGTGACAATGTGCTTTGCTTTGTTCAGATTCTGGTGGTAGATAGCTAGTGCGTCACTATAGGTGACCGCTCAAATCCAATGTTGCCTTGCCCCACCGTCCCTCTGCTGCCTATGCCTCGGCCCCTCTTCTCCCACCACCCAGGCGGTGAAGGATGTGTGCAAGTCCATTCCAGGGCGCTTCTGGGACAAAGTGTCCAGGTGGGTGGGCTTTGGAGGGAGAAAGTGACTTCTCAGCCCCCTTAAAAGGCGGTGAAGGATGTGTGCAAGTCCATTTCAGGGCGCTTCTGGGATAAAGTGTCCAGGTGGGTGGGCTTTGGAGGGAGAAAGTGACTTCTCGGCCGCTTCAAAAGGTGGTGAGGGAGGTGTGCAAGTCTCTTACAGCGTGGTTCTGGGACGAAGTGACCAGGTGCCTCGCTTATGTAGAGAGAGGGAAGCAGGTGGGTGGGTGGGATATGCGTGTGCATGCATGCACTCATTCATGTGCCATGCTCCTTGGGACAAAACAACATTGCACGACATTGCAGCGCTGCACGAGAGATGATGCGGCCTTTCTGCACTTATGTTCTTTGTGGAAGTGAAAGTGTTCTTTGAGAATTCTATAAATAAACACATTCAACGCGAAACTACCCGTTTCACATGGTGGGTGAGCTGGTAACCGCTACTTTTTCAGGTGATCTGGTAACCTCTACTTTTTCAGGTGATCTTGTAACCACTACTTTTCAGGTGATCTGGTAACCGCTACTTTTCAGGGTGATCTGGTAACCGCTACTTTTCAGGGTGATCTGGTAACCGCTACTTTTCAGGGTGAGCTGGTAGCTGCTACTTTTCAGGCACCTTCTCCATTGCACATTGCCATCATTTTATTATATTCTCTTCCTTGCCGGACCTTGCAGTGGAAGTACCCACCTGAAGAAGTATCCTTCCTTCTCTTCTCTTCCTTGGATGTATTACCATGCAGGCAGTAGAAGTACCCATTCCACATGGCGGATGAAGTGGTTGCAGCGACATATGACTGAGGCACCACCTTAGATGGAGCAGCGGGACTCGTTCTCTCTTCTTCCGCGAGAAGCTATTTTCACAACAGGAGTGCCCCTCGTCTACTCTCGCTGTTTTCTCCCTGCCGTCCTCTGCAGGCAGTAGAAGTACCCATTCCACATGGCGGATGAAGTGCTTGCTAGGAGCTACTTACTAGGCCTATTTAAGAATCAGTGTCCCTACTTCTCTTCTCTTCCTTGGATGGGTTACCTTGCAGGCAGTGGAAGTACCCATTCCACATGGCGGATGAGGTGGTTGCAGCACTTGCATGCATCACAGACGTTCCTATCCAGGTGTGCTGTGGTAACCATGCGCACTTGGTAACCGTGCGCTCTTGGTACACATTTGCATTTGATGTGTCTGTCCAAGTGCGGTGCGATAACCATATGCAATTGGTAACACCGCATCGCTTTTATTACACATTGCTGCAGTGTGCTTGCAGTGCATATTGGTGCTGCTGTTGCTGCCGGCTTGCTAATGTGGCTTACATAACAAACCTGGTAAATATGTATATACGTGTGTGTATATATATATGTACATGTTTAAGAAAAGAAAATGCGTGTCTGTCAGTCAGTTTGCATTTCCATATGGTTGTGCTTGCATTCAATATATTCAACGATGAATCGTAACTTCTTCTTGTTAGCAAAATTTCTATTACTGTGCAGCAAACAATCCATAACTATCATGTGCGGTCTTGTTGTACCTATTGTGCTCCATGCAGATAGTTGCTGAGTTGATTTTTAAGGCGCCTAAAAAATCAACGCAATCCTCTTACTATCATGTGCGGTCTTGTTGTACCTAATGTGTTTCACGCAGATAGTTGCTGATCCTCCCTCGTTACTGTCCGAGACTGCTTGGGGCAGTATAAAGGAGGAGACAGAGAAAGAGCAAGAGCAACGTGCAAGGAAGCGGCTACGAGGAGATGCGAGCTGCATGAATGCCAACAGTTTTCTCCCCAGCAGCATACATGCCAGCAGTGCTGTCGGTGGTAGCAGCGCAGACGCCATACCTCCCCTTGCCGCGTGTGGCGGCAGTGGCACCTCAACTGCAGACAGGCGTTGCCGTCTCGATTCGGCTGGCTCTGGTCCGGTTTCAACATTGTTTCTTTCAACCAGCCCTGATTACACTGGCCTTGATTCCACTGGCCTTGCTTCAAGTGCCCCCAGGATTGGGGATACGTGTGTTGGTGGTGGGGATGGCATTGGCAGCTGCAGCGGCAGCAGTGGTTCTGATTCCAGTCCAAGTGCACCTCCTCCTCCTCCTCCTCCTCCTCCTCCTCCTCCTCCTCCTCCTCCTCCTCCTCCTCCTCCTCCTCCTCCTCCTCCTCCTCCTCCTCCTCCTCCTCCTCCTCCTCCTCCTCCTCCTCCTCCTCCGCCTCCCATGCTGGCATCGCCGCCTGGAGAGCCGTCTGTTGACCTGCCGCCACGGCCGTGGCTTGCACGGCACGGAGAACAGCCGCTGCAGCAGGATAAGCAGTCAGAGGAGCAACAGCAGAAGCAGCAGCTGATGCAACAGCAGGAGCAGCAGCAGCAGCAGCAACAGCAGCAGCAACAGCAGCCAAATCAGCAACCGCAACGAGAAGCACATCAGCAGCAGCAACACCAGCAACATCAGCCGCAACAACAGTTACAGCAGCAACAACAACACCAACAGCAGCAGCAGACGCACATGCAGCAGCAGCAACAACACCACCAACACCAGCAGCATCAGCAGCAGCAGGAGAATCATGAGGTGGCAGTTCAGCAGCAGTGTCGAAGGATCCGCCTGCTGCCGTCCTCCAACGGCCGAGTGGCTGCGTCCTTCGTCTTCCACCAGGTGCTGCTTTGTTATCCGCTGCTGCTGCTCTCGTTATCTGCACCTGCTCTCATCTCATCTTGAACGACATGGTGTCCTTGTTTATAGTTGCACTGCACTGCATCCTTCGGCTTCCTAACTTGCACCCTCCCCATCCCCTCTTCACTCGCTGCTCCACCACCCACAGGACCTCGTGGCACCCATGAGGAGCGTCCCTTGTCCCTCTTCTCCCTTCCTGCTCCCACTCTTCCCACCTCGCGCAGCCTTCACTGCCCTCTTCCTGTCCCATCTAGCTCGCTGCTACTGCACCACCCATAGGACCTCGCGGCTCCCTTGAGGAGCGTCTCTTGCTTTGATTGGCATAAGCCCTAACTTCCTTCCCTTTCCTGCACGCTACGTATCACCTCTCTCTCTCTCTCTCTCTCTCTCTCTCTCTCTCTCTCTCTCTCTCTCTCTCTCTCTCTCTCTCTCTCTCTCTCTCTCTCTGCTACTCCACCACCCACAGGATCTCGTGGGGCCCATGACGAGCGTCCCTTGCCCCTCTTCTCCCCTTCCTGCCACCACTCTCCCGCCTCACCCCCCCCCCGCCCCGCGCACTGCCCACTCCCATCCCTTCTTCCTCGTTGCTGCTTCTCTTGTTATCCACAGGATCTCGTGGCGCCCATGAGGAGCGTCCCTTGTTCTATCTGGCAGCAGGACAAGCGGTGAGCAGCTGTCATAAGTAGACGAGACGCATTAGGTGCACAGAGAGAGGGTGATATGAGATCGGAGAGGGACCAGGAGAGGGGCGTAGGAAAGACGTGAGTTATGCCTTAGAGTAGATGGAGAGGTGAGTGGAAACGATGTGAGAGGGTGTGTGTGAGTGAGATGTGCTGCAAGAAGGGGCTGTGGAAATGCCCAGGCTCTGGCTGATTAGCACGAGGCTCAACCTGAGCACAGTAAGAGAACCTGGGGAAGAACACTCGTACACTCCCCACTTTCCCTTGCTATTGCCTCTGCCTGTGCCGCCACTGCTGCTGCTGTAGTCAGTCGGCATCTATCACTTCCAGGCTCCAGCTAGTGACTTCGGGCACACAGGGCGCGTGTGGAGGCTTTCATGGGAGCTTTTGAGACGTCTGAAAAGGTGGTAGATTCATTGCACACTAGATGGGTGGCGCTGATGTTGTGGGTGCTGCCTAAGGGCTTTCCCCCTCCTTTCCCTTGTGTCTCTCTACGTGCCCCATGCCCTGATCCGAGGTGACTTTTGAGTCGACTCAAAAGTTGCCCTGATCCCTTCCTTTGCCTCCTATTCCCACCTCCCGCTCTGCTCACAGCCTCTGGCTGGCTGTTCCCTCTCTCTTGTCGCTTGTTGCAAAGTGCCCCAAACCCTACTCCTTGCATTCATATTGGAGTGACTTTTGAGAATTCTCAAAAGTGACTCCCCAAATCCTACTCCTTGCATTCACCTTCCCTCGCACGTGCTGCTTCGCGCGCAGCTTATGGGTGTTCCCTCTCTCCTCTCTGGACGCGTTTCTCCAAGCCGTGCAGTCAGTGCCCACATGCGACGTGGAGGTGAGGGGTGTGTGAGACGTGGAAGTGAGAGTGCCGCACTGCGATCTGTGAGGTGATTGAGTGCTGCAAGTGGAAGGGGTTGTGGGTCTTCCCTCTCTCCTCGCTGGACGCGTTTCTCCAAGCCGTGCAGTCAGTGCCCACATGCGACGTGGAGGTGAGTGAGAGTGGAGCCGTGCAATTTGTGAGATGGGGGTTTGATTTGATGTAAGTGGAAGTGTGGGTGGGTGTTGCCTCTTCTCCAAGCCATGCGATCAGTGCATACATGGGGTGCATACATGTGCATACATTCAATGAGAGCGAAGCGGTGGAGCGTGTGATGTGAGGTTATGGTGCATTTTGAGCAGGCTGTGGGTGCATTTTGAGCAGGCTGTGGGTGCATTTTGAGCAGGCTGTGGGTGCATTTTGAGCAGGCTGTGGGTGCTCTCTCTCTCAACCCCTTGACCCTGACTGCGTTTTTCCTTGTTCTCAAAAATGATTTCAACATAGCTGTGCACTCAGTGAGTGCTGGCCAACATGTGACATAGAGGTGAGTGAGGGTGGAGCCGTGCAATGCAGACTGAGAATCGTCGCGCCCTTCAAGAGCACACATGATATCGAAAAGAAGGCCGATTTACACTTCATTCTGTTCTGGCAGTTTTTCAGCTCGTTTGCCCTTGCTATCTTGCTCTCTTGCTCTCTTGCTAGCTTGCTCTCTTGCTCTCTTGCTTGTTGATTGTGCTGGTTCACTGCCTCGTTTATATTGGACTACGCCTCGAAGCAGATGATCTTGCTCCCATCGTCTCGTCCTCTCAGACTCCCTGCCACCATAGGTGGAGCTGTTGCTGCCCATGGTGCAGCGAGCCCTGGAGGAGTCATGTTTGAGATCTCTGAGAAGTGGCTTTGCTCTCGTCCACGCTCTTGCTCTCTTCTTCCTGCCGCCAGTGGATTTCTCACAAGTGGCTTGCCTTTGCTCTCTCTCGTCCACGCTCTTGCTCTCTTCTCTCTGCCGCCACAGGTGGAGCCGTTGCCGCCCGTGGTGAAGCGAGCACTTGAAGAGACAGCGAAGCTGCCAGACGATTCAGGCAAGTCATGTGAGGAGTCACGCATCACCAGCTCGCCTGTGCCGTCTTCTCGTTGCTCGTTCCTTACGAATCCTGAGTCACCACGCCCCCCTTTACTTGCTCCGACTAGGCTACCACTCTGCACCAGGCTATAGTTCCTTTCTTCCCCATCCTTCCTTCTTCCTGTTGGTCTTCTCTTGCGCGCAGGTCGCTACTTTGACTTGCCTGCTGGTTTTCGGGAGCTTCTGATGCCCTTCCAAGAGCAAGGCATGCAGTGAGTGTGACGTGACTCGTTCAGAGCCCTTGTGATGCCCTTGAACGAGGGCATCAGAGGGAACCTCTAGTGCAGCATCGCATTGCAAGCTCCCTGCCTCTTGTCTCTACTCTCCGCTGCTCCCTCTCTCCCTCCCCGCTTTCCTTTGTCTTGCATTCATTACATACCAGTCTATCTCGTGTTCCTCACCTCACCATTCATCTTCTATGCCCTGTCTGACTCGTATCAGAACTTTCCTCTATTTTGCTCTCCTTTGCTCTGCTCTCCGCTCTCCCTCACTTGCTGGTAGGTGCTGATAGCAGGGATGGGGCTTGAGAAAACAATGATAGACTACTATTTATGTATAGAATTAACGGCTGTGCGTTGAAACTTCCCACTCCTGTCCTCTACTCGCCGTGCTTCCCTTGCCCACGTGCTCTGTCTCGTGCAACCGACGAGTGCTGCGTAACTGGGCACCTAGTGCTCTATAGCAGGCAAAATGGAGCTGGGCTGTGGATGATGGTGAATGCCATAGTATTGGCTGCCATGCTCGCAGCAGATCTCTCCGCTGGTGTCGCCGGTCTTCTCTTCTCTCTGCATGCTCCTTGTCAAGCCCTCAGACAACATGGGGCTAGGTTGGGGAAGACAGTGCAGGCAATAAGGCTGGGCTGCTCATCTCGCTGCCTCACTCACTCACGCTATACGCTTTCCTCACCTCTCCACTCCCTCTCTTGCCCAGGTTTGCGCTCTCTCAAGAGGCGGGCAAGATGGGGTTGGGGAAGATGGGGTTGGGCAAGATGGGGTTGGGGAAGACGGTGCAGGCTATGGTGTTGACCTAGTATTCTTGCTCCTCACAGTATCCCCCTCCTCTCCTCTCCTCTCCGCTCGTCTGCTTCCCCTCTATTGCCCAGGTTTGTGCTCTCAAGAGGCGCCGAGTGCTGATAGTGGCCGGGATGGGGCTGGGGAAGACGGTGCGAGCCAAGAAGTCGAGTTTTGAGTCGGCTCAAAACTCGACTCATTACACGCGATGGGGCTGGGGAAGACGGTGCGAGCCAATAGCCAAGAATTTGGGCCGCTCATCTCGCTGCCTGCCTCACACCGTGCGCCCTCCTCTCCTCTTCTTTCCTCTCTTTCAGATTCCCAGATTCGCTCTTTCACGAGGTGGCCGAGTGCTGATAGCAGATGAGATGGAGCTGGGCAAGACCGTGCAGGCCATAGTGCTGCTAGTGCTGACTCACACCATTCTCGCATCTCCTCTTCCTCCCCCTCCCTCTGTTGCCCAGGTTTGCACTTTCAAGAGGTGGCTGGGTGCTGATAGCGGACAAGATGGGGCTGGGCAGGACGGTGCAGGCCAAAGCCAAAGAGTTGCGCTGCTGGCCTCGTTACCTCACACCGTGCCCATTCCTCTCCTCTCCTCTCCTCGACCCTCCCTCTGCCAGGTTTGCACTTTCAAGAGGCGGCCGGGTGTTGATAGCGGACGAGATGGGGCTGGGCAAGCCGTGCAGTCCAAAGCCAAAGAGTTAGGCTGCTGGCTGTGTGGCCTCACACCGTGCCCATTCCTCTCCTCTCCTCTCCTCGACCCTCCCTCTGCCAGGTTTGCCCTATCAAGAGGCGGGCGAGTGCTGATAGCAGACGAGATGGGGCTGGGCAAGACCATGCAGGCAGTAGGGCTGGGCTGCCCCTCTCGCAAGCTCACAGCATGCCCTCTCTCCTTGCCCGTTCCTCTCCCCTTCTCTTCCTCTTCTAGGTTCGCTCTCTCGAGAGGCGGCCGGGTGTTGATAGCAGACGAGATGGGGCTGGGCAAGACCGTGCAGGCCATAGGGTTGGCAGCATGCTACAGGGACGAGTGGCCTGTGCTTGTCATCGCCCCCTCCTCTCTGCGCCTGCACTGGGCTATGGTGAGGCGTTCTTTTAAAATGTTGAGGCATGTGCTGCTGCATTGTCACTGGAAAGAAAAGCAGAGCAAGGTTGATGCAAGGCAAAGGTTTGGCAGCATGGCACGGAGAGGGATAAGCGGCCTGTTCTTGTCATCACGCCCTCCTCTCTGCTCCTGCACTGGGCCATGGTGAGGCGTTTTCTTGGTTGGAATGGTGAGGCATGTGCTGCTGCTACGCTGTCACTAGCAACGCAAGCAAGCCGTTGGGCTAGCAGCATGCTACAGGGACGAGTGGCCCGTGCTTGTCATTGTGCCCTCCTCTCTGCGCCTGCACTGGACCATGGTGAGGCATGTGTGTGGCAATGGTAAGAAATGTGATAGTGTAATGCTGAATGGGATAGTCCCACATTCGCCATTGCCTCGTACACACTCACATGTCGCTCATTTTCTTCCAAAAAGCTGTTCTTGTTGAAACATCCAAAAGAAACCCCCACTACCCTTTGTATGTCCGCCATCTCCCAGCTCGCTTCCTTGCACCATGGCAGGGCTTTACGCGCTGGCACAACACCTTCCCTTTTTTCTTCACCAACCCCCCCCTCACCCCCACCATCCACCCGCCACTTGCGTGACAGAGCATCATGCGCTGGCTCAACCTGCCTCCTGAAGACATCACAGTGAGTCATAAGGGAAATGGAAGAAGCCATGCCATCCATGCCATGCCATGCCATGCGCATGCAACACCCTGTCATCCATGCGTTGCCATGCCATGCCATACCATGCCATGCCATGCCATACCATGCCATACCATGCCATGCCATTCCTTCCGATTCTGCCTTCTGTCAGGTGGTGATGCCTCAGGGCGGGGCCACTCGCAGCATCAACGGGTTCAACTTCGTGCGCTGCACTCGCAACCAGCCCCTCTCTTTGCAATCACCCTTCAACATAGTGTCGTACGACCTACTTGATCGCTTGGAGCAGCCAGATGAGCCGTTTAAGGTGAGTTGAGGCACCCAGCCCCTCTCACTGCACTCACACCCACCTCACCTCACTGCACTCACACCCACCTCACCTCACTGCACTCACACCCACCTCACCTCACTGCACTCACACCCACCTCACCTCACTGCACTCACACCCAGCCCCTCTCGCTGCACTCACACCCAGCCCCTCTCGCTGCACTCACACCCAGCCCCTCTCGCTGCACTCACACCCAGCCCCTCTCGCTGCACTCTCCCTTCAACATAATATCGTACGACCTGCTCAATCGCCTGGAGCAGCCAGAGGAGCCGTTCAAGGTGAGTTGATTCGCCCGGCTCATGTCATTACACTCACAGCCATTCCCATTATATCAAATCCGTATTTATTGCATGCATCACATCTCATGAATTGCACCCCCCCCCCCATGCACACACACACCACGTGGTAACCGTAGACAAGAAATATCAAAGCGAATCTTCTCCACTTCCCCATGCATGCACATGCACATGCACATGCACCAGGTGGTGATAGCAGACGAGTCCCACTACCTCAAGAATTACAAGGCCAAGCGCACAGGCCTAGCCGTGCCACGACTGCAGGTGAGGCTAAACGAACAGGCCTGGCCGTGCCACGACTGCAGGTGAGGCTAAACGAACAGGCCTGGCCGTGCCACGACTGCAGGTGAGGCTAAACGAACAGGCCTGGCCGTGCCACGACTGCAGGTGAGGCTAAACGAACAGGCCTGGCCGTGCCACGACTGCAGGTGAGGCTAAACGAACAGGCCTGGCCGTGCCACGACTGCAGATGAGGATGCGGTTGCTCTTGCTCCGGCCACCAAGCACCTTCTGAGCTGCCATTAGACTGATTAAGGTGATGCTCAATGCGCAAGACGTGCTTGATGCTCTTGTCCCTGCTACTGCATCCCTTTGAGTCTCCTTTTGCGGACCTTTGAGGCGCCTCAAGACTTGTCTTAAAAAAACTGAGGCGCCACAAAAGTCGTCTCATCGAGAATGAGGCGCCTTAAATGCTGATTGCGGTGGTGCTGAGTGCGCAAGACCTGCTTGGTGCTGAGTGCGCAAGACCTGCTTGGTGCTGAGTGCGCAAGACCTGCTTGGTGCTGAGTGCGCAAGACCTGCTTGGTGCTGAGTGCGCAAGACCTGCTTGGTGCTGAGTGCGCAAGACCTGCTTGGTGCTGAGTGCGCAAGACCTGCTTGGTGCTGAGTGCGCAAGACCTGCTTGGTGCTGAGTGCGCAAGACCTGCTTGGTGCTGAGTGCGCAAGACCTGCTTGGTGCTGAGTGCGCAAGACCTGCTTGGTGCTGAGTGCGCAAGACCTGCTTGGTGCTGAGTGCGCAAGACCTGCTTGGTGCTGAGTGCGCAAGACCTGCTTGGTGCTGAGTGCGCAAGACCTGCTTGGTGCTGAGTGCGCAAGACCTGCTTGGTGCTGAGTGCGCAAGACCTGCTTGGTGCTGAGTGCGCAAGACCTGCTTGGTGCTGAGTGCGCAAGACCTGCTTGGTGCTGAGTGCGCAAGACCTGCTTGGTGCTGAGTGCGCAAGACCTGCTTGGTGCTGAGTGCGCAAGACCTGCTTGGTGCTGAGTGCGCAAGACCTGCTTGGTGCTGAGTGCGCAAGACCTGCTTGGTGCTGAGTGCGCAAGACCTGCTTGGTGCTGAGTGCGCAAGACCTGCTTGGTGCTGAGTGCGCAAGACCTGCTTGGTGCTGAGTGCGCAAGACCTGCTTGGTGCTGAGTGCGCAAGACCTGCTTGGTGCTGAGTGCGCAAGACCTGCTTGGTGCTGAGTGCGCAAGACCTGCTTGGTGCTGAGTGCGCAAGACCTGCTTGGTGCTGAGTGCGCAAGACCTGCTTGGTGCTGAGTGCGCAAGACCTGCTTGGTGCTGAGTGCGCAAGACCTGCTTGGTGCTGAGTGCGCAAGACCTGCTTGGTGCTGAGTGCGCAAGACCTGCTTGGTGCTGAGTGCGCAAGACCTGCTTGGTGCTGAGTGCGCAAGACCTGCTTGGTGCTGAGTGCGCAAGACCTGCTTGGTGCTGAGTGCGCAAGACCTGCTTGGTGCTGAGTGCGCAAGACCTGCTTGGTGCTGAGTGCGCAAGACCTGCTTGGTGCTGAGTGCGCAAGACCTGCTTGGTGCTGAGTGCGCAAGACCTGCTTGGTGCTGAGTGCGCAAGACCTGCTTGGTGCTGAGTGCGCAAGACCTGCTTGGTGCTGAGTGCGCAAGACCTGCTTGGTGCTGAGTGCGCAAGACCTGCTTGGTGCTGAGTGCGCAAGACCTGCTTGGTGCTGAGTGCGCAAGACCTGCTTGGTGCTGAGTGCGCAAGACCTGCTTGGTGCTGAGTGCGCAAGACCTGCTTGGTGCTGAGTGCGCAAGACCTGCTTGGTGCTGAGTGCGCAAGACCTGCTTGGTGCTGAGTGCGCAAGACCTGCTTGGTGCTGAGTGCGCAAGACCTGCTTGGTGCTGAGTGCGCAAGACCTGCTTGGTGCTGAGTGCGCAAGACCTGCTTGGTGCTGAGTGCGCAAGACCTGCTTGGTGCTGAGTGCGCAAGACCTGCTTGGTGCTGAGTGCGCAAGACCTGCTTGGTGCTGAGTGCGCAAGACCTGCTTGGTGCTGAGTGCGCAAGACCTGCTTGGTGCTGAGTGCGCAAGACCTGCTTGGTGCTGAGTGCGCAAGACCTGCTTGGTGCTGAGTGCGCAAGACCTGCTTGGTGCTGAGTGCGCAAGACCTGCTTGGTGCTGAGTGCGCAAGACCTGCTTGGTGCTGAGTGCGCAAGACCTGCTTGGTGCTGAGTGCGCAAGACCTGCTTGGTGCTGAGTGCGCAAGACCTGCTTGGTGCTGAGTGCGCAAGACCTGCTTGGTGCTGAGTGCGCAAGACCTGCTTGGTGCTGAGTGCGCAAGACCTGCTTGGTGCTGAGTGCGCAAGACCTGCTTGGTGCTGAGTGCGCAAGACCTGCTTGGTGCTGAGTGCGCAAGACCTGCTTGGTGCTGAGTGCGCAAGACCTGCTTGGTGCTGAGTGCGCAAGACCTGCTTGGTGCTGAGTGCGCAAGACCTGCTTGGTGCTGAGTGCGCAAGACCTGCTTGGTGCTGAGTGCGCAAGACCTGCTTGGTGCTGAGTGCGCAAGACCTGCTTGGTGCTGAGTGCGCAAGACCTGCTTGGTGCTGAGTGCGCAAGACCTGCTTGGTGCTGAGTGCGCAAGACCTGCTTGGTGCTGAGTGCGCAAGACCTGCTTGGTGCTGAGTGCGCAAGACCTGCTTGGTGCTGAGTGCGCAAGACCTGCTTGGTGCTGAGTGCGCAAGACCTGCTTGGTGCTGAGTGCGCAAGACCTGCTTGGTGCTGAGTGCGCAAGACCTGCTTGGTGCTGAGTGCGCAAGACCTGCTTGGTGCTGAGTGCGCAAGACCTGCTTGGTGCTGAGTGCGCAAGACCTGCTTGGTGCTGAGTGCGCAAGACCTGCTTGGTGCTGAGTGCGCAAGACCTGCTTGGTGCTGAGTGCGCAAGACCTGCTTGGTGCTGAGTGCGCAAGACCTGCTTGGTGCTGAGTGCGCAAGACCTGCTTGGTGCTGAGTGCGCAAGACCTGCTTGGTGCTGAGTGCGCAAGACCTGCTTGGTGCTGAGTGCGCAAGACCTGCTTGGTGCTGAGTGCGCAAGACCTGCTTGGTGCTGAGTGCGCAAGACCTGCTTGGTGCTGAGTGCGCAAGACCTGCTTGGTGCTGAGTGCGCAAGACCTGCTTGGTGCTGAGTGCGCAAGACCTGCTTGGTGCTGAGTGCGCAAGACCTGCTTGGTGCTGAGTGCGCAAGACCTGCTTGGTGCTGAGTGCGCAAGACCTGCTTGGTGCTGAGTGCGCAAGACCTGCTTGGTGCTGAGTGCGCAAGACCTGCTTGGTGCTGAGTGCGCAAGACCTGCTTGGTGCTGAGTGCGCAAGACCTGCTTGGTGCTGAGTGCGCAAGACCTGCTTGGTGCTGAGTGCGCAAGACCTGCTTGGTGCTGAGTGCGCAAGACCTGCTTGGTGCTGAGTGCGCAAGACCTGCTTGGTGCTGAGTGCGCAAGACCTGCTTGGTGCTGAGTGCGCAAGACCTGCTTGGTGCTGAGTGCGCAAGACCTGCTTGGTGCTGAGTGCGCAAGACCTGCTTGGTGCTGAGTGCGCAAGACCTGCTTGGTGCTGAGTGCGCAAGACCTGCTTGGTGCTGAGTGCGCAAGACCTGCTTGGTGCTGAGTGCGCAAGACCTGCTTGGTGCTGAGTGCGCAAGACCTGCTTGGTGCTGAGTGCGCAAGACCTGCTTGGTGCTGAGTGCGCAAGACCTGCTTGGTGCTGAGTGCGCAAGACCTGCTTGGTGCTGAGTGCGCAAGACCTGCTTGGTGCTGAGTGCGCAAGACCTGCTTGGTGCTGAGTGCGCAAGACCTGCTTGGTGCTGAGTGCGCAAGACCTGCTTGGTGCTGAGTGCGCAAGACCTGCTTGGTGCTGAGTGCGCAAGACCTGCTTGGTGCTGAGTGCGCAAGACCTGCTTGGTGCTGAGTGCGCAAGACCTGCTTGGTGCTGAGTGCGCAAGACCTGCTTGGTGCTGAGTGCGCAAGACCTGCTTGGTGCTGAGTGCGCAAGACCTGCTTGGTGCTGAGTGCGCAAGACCTGCTTGGTGCTGAGTGCGCAAGACCTGCTTGGTGCTGAGTGCGCAAGACCTGCTTGGTGCTGAGTGCGCAAGACCTGCTTGGTGCTGAGTGCGCAAGACCTGCTTGGTGCTGAGTGCGCAAGACCTGCTTGGTGCTGAGTGCGCAAGACCTGCTTGGTGCTGAGTGCGCAAGACCTGCTTGGTGCTGAGTGCGCAAGACCTGCTTGGTGCTGAGTGCGCAAGACCTGCTTGGTGCTGAGTGCGCAAGACCTGCTTGGTGCTGAGTGCGCAAGACCTGCTTGGTGCTGAGTGCGCAAGACCTGCTTGGTGCTGAGTGCGCAAGACCTGCTTGGTGCTGAGTGCGCAAGACCTGCTTGGTGCTGAGTGCGCAAGACCTGCTTGGTGCTGAGTGCGCAAGACCTGCTTGGTGCTGAGTGCGCAAGACCTGCTTGGTGCTGAGTGCGCAAGACCTGCTTGGTGCTGAGTGCGCAAGACCTGCTTGGTGCTGAGTGCGCAAGACCTGCTTGGTGCTGAGTGCGCAAGACCTGCTTGGTGCTGAGTGCGCAAGACCTGCTTGGTGCTGAGTGCGCAAGACCTGCTTGGTGCTGAGTGCGCAAGACCTGCTTGGTGCTGAGTGCGCAAGACCTGCTTGGTGCTGAGTGCGCAAGACCTGCTTGGTGCTGAGTGCGCAAGACCTGCTTGGTGCTGAGTGCGCAAGACCTGCTTGGTGCTGAGTGCGCAAGACCTGCTTGGTGCTGAGTGCGCAAGACCTGCTTGGTGCTGAGTGCGCAAGACCTGCTTGGTGCTGAGTGCGCAAGACCTGCTTGGTGCTGAGTGCGCAAGACCTGCTTGGTGCTGAGTGCGCAAGACCTGCTTGGTGCTGAGTGCGCAAGACCTGCTTGGTGCTGAGTGCGCAAGACCTGCTTGGTGCTGAGTGCGCAAGACCTGCTTGGTGCTGAGTGCGCAAGACCTGCTTGGTGCTGAGTG